TCCTTTCCCCGTTCAGAGTACCGTATTCTCGATATTGTTAGCCATAAAGGGAGTCATGAAAGTGTTCACAACGATTATACTCCTGAACAGCGCCATCTCACGTCACAAACGTCGTCTCGACCAACACACAGCAGGGCGTCCTTGCCAATTTGACCTTCTAAAATTCACCTGCTTTTCTCCAATTCCCGAGAGTTTTTGGAAAATACAATGTTGACGTCATGGTATCAAATATCGCTTTCAAATGTCACCAAAAATTCCTTCACTTAATTTTACTTTAACCGTATTGTCATGGCTCGATGTAGCAAAAGACATAGGGGAAGATTGAAGGTAACCCAACCATCACGTTTGGTGGATGCCAATGATGAAACCACGCGCAGTCACAGTCTTTCAGGGACTACATTATCGTCGAGCCAAACAGCGCAAAACATGCGATGTACATTCCTTACACGCACATGTGCGCTGTCTATTTCAAGAAAACAATTAAAGTTAAAAGAGTGTAACTATCGTTCATTTCACACTGGTGTTGATTTCACTTACTCTTAAGTGTATGCTTTCAACCCAAACAAAAGTCTCCCATTTTCCCCACTTTGACCCCGCAAAATTCTCCCTAGCTGCCCTCGGACTAGAATTCCCGTAAGCTAAGCGCCGACCAGACATTCTTTCTCAATAAATGCGATGGTGTAGAGAACGAAAGAATGGAAATTGGTCCACGCAAACAACCAACATACGCATGACTCGTTGAGTGACGAGCTGCCACACCAAAATAATATGTTGTATAAATGCAAATTTTAAAAAACAGTAAAAGATGATCGAATACCCGTCATTATCTTAGTTATTTCGATAACACCAAATACAATAAATCGCTTATCATGACACGTGGAAAAAACGCGAAAATAGAAATGTTCGAACAACAATGGCGTGGGGATGGTGGCAGGGAAGTTGGTTTGTAACACAAAAGTCGCACACTATATAGGTAACTCAGTCTAGAGTTCCAGGGTGTATAATTTCCAATTTCTTACTGAGGACGAGATGAAGTTCACAATAATAACTGCTAGGTGGATTTTCGATTATGGGGAGGGGGCTGTAACAAGATTTGAGGTGCATTACCGTAAAACGACGGAAAGTTTCTGCATGGCCTAAGGGGTAAGTATCACTTGAGTTTCTATGTTTCCATGCAACCCAATCTCTATTCACAAGTTAACAAAGTTGGGTGCTTGAAAACGACATAGTAATCAACACGGGGTTGGGATTGTAGATCGATACGAGTAAAAAGTAAATTGACATCACCAAGCGCTGAACTTTTTGGCTTTTCTTGACCCCTCTACGCTTGTCTGGGTCGTAAAAAAGTAGACGACCGTGAAATCTCGAGAGTCTTTGCAAAGGATGCCAGAGTGTTACATTATTCAGTTTTAAAATATTATCAGTTACATATTTAAAATCTATGAAGTCCGAAATTTGATTTCGCTGAACGGACAAATTCAGACAAAAACATCGACCTACTGTTGAAAGTCACTTTATCTATTCGTAATACTATTGATTTCTTAAAAACTTCCTAATGGGCAATCTTAATGGGGACATAGTCAAGATGATTGTTCGGCAAATTAAACTGAAAAGTCTGCATCATGAAATAAAACCCGGTCGTAAGTTATACCAAGGACCATGGCAATACGTGTACGCGTGATACACTTTTCGGGTTGCCACTCCATTAGATACAGCAATTGATCAAAATATTACTCCTGATTTTATTTCTCTATAATTGAAAAAGTTTTAGAAATCATGCAAGCAAACTAGACCTATCACAACTCAATAAAATGTCCTCACTGAGTTCGCAGTAAGTTATATAAGTTTATTCTGTGAGGTCTTAGTGCAGCGCCTGTCAGACTGCATAAAGCCACAAGAGGACAACCAAAAACAAGTCGTATTGTGGAGTTGCTCCAGGCGATACAAAGACCACCGAACTATCCATCGAAACAGCGTAACTCGAAACCCAAGATTAAATCACAGGGGAGAGAAAAATACGTCACGTCTTACGGTATTTCTGAACCCAATAACGACTTTTAAACTGTGTTAGAATCTAAAACTATTCATTTCATCTATACGGGAATTAGACGCCGTATTTACGATCCGAAACCGTCGCAATGCATGTAAGCACTTAGTCTAATATGGTACGATTGCTTGGCATGTAATTGGCAGGTCTGTTTTCACACAAATGAACTTATCTGCGATCTTAGTTTCTACAAAGTACAGGTTTGGGGAGCGCATCTATTTCATAAACGGTCGGTGAAATCAACGATGCCGGGAACAATGTAATTTGGCGGTTGAAGAACGGAAGGACGAATATGCAAAAGATATGCCGCGAAGGACGTATTTTAATTTTCCGGAAAATTAAACCAGCTATGTGAAGATCCAAAGAAAACGTGCCGAGTTTGTTTTATCAAGATATACGCGCCGAGTTGCCATAACAGCGACAGAAGGTCGGAAGTATTGAATAGAAAATATTTTTATGAGTTACAAAAATAAATAAGAATAAATTACTAGAGCAGTTAACAGTTAATGGCTTCGATTTAAGGTAAGATATTGAGATAAACACAGTCAGGCGATAATAAAATAGCTATATAAATCTAATAAAGGCCAAAATGTTATAAGGGTAGGTGCCAAAGTTATGTGGAAACAAACTAATTAAAAACAGAACAACCGAGCTATTAATCAATCAGAAATACACCTTCACAGATAACGCGCACATGTGGGCAAACTAAGAAGACGGTGAGATTGGACGATCTTGGTTTGAAAAGCAGTCATGTTAAAACAAAAACAGTGCATAATAGGACTGATTGCAGCAATTCGTGGATATCTTGAAAAAGCTTGTGCGGACTGATACATATATACAGGTGGAATGTTTACACACACTGCGGACTGCTATTCACATTTTTCCCTGTGGCGCAGTGGTTTAATTTCATTACAAAGTGAACAACATTTCTCCCTGACGTGTCTTTAAAGCCGTATATTGTTGAGGGGACAATCCGGTAACTACCAAGCCTAGGACAACGAAAGAATTGCATCACAATCCTGTCACGGAACTCCATGGACGCACCAATAAACCGTGTATAACTAACAATAACAAAACACGTGATATAACAGGGTCCATTAGCAACTCGTTGTGAATTATGAGGGGGTGGAAATAAAAACAAGACAGACAATTTAATTATCAGGGTTATTCAGTGAGTATAGATGGCCTTGCAAGTTAGCTGTTCATTTTTACGAACTGCAATGTATTTTCCCGTTTTAAGAGCTACTTTTAAAAGTTATGGTTGTGAATTGGAGTGGGTGTATAGTGGTGTCTGTGGTGTTGAGGAGCTACTGTGCGCCTTTACTGTTGACGGGATTTAGGGAAATGAAAACTAGAAGGCCATAAATATGTTAACTACTTCAGACCGAGTTACTGAGTATATGCGAATGTAAAGCTGCAAACGTGCAGATTTCAAACACACCAGAAATGAGACACAGTTTTTACTATCGCGACTGACAGGGCGCAGGACGCGATGACACACAGTGGCGACGTTAATGGAATGGCGACACGCGCAATGAAGTGCGGTCCATTTGATGACTTTTATTACAACGCCCTAACCTACTCACTTAAACAGTATCTTCGCTTTAAATTAGAATCACAATAATTCGACACTACAGTCCTCATAAGAATAGGTGAGGCAAGTGTTTGAAGAGATCACAGTGCCGGGTGCTACTTTCCATACAAATATCCATTTCAAATGTTGCTTTACTGAGCATGTCACAGCACTACATGCAATGCATTATGGGATCGAAACTTCCATTGTATATAATGGAATCTATTATTGACTGATTTTTTTCATAATATTAGGACACGTGTCATAACAGTAAAATTATCAGATATACTAATAATCTAAGCATAGAAACTAGTGTGAAAATGCAAGTTTTGAACATTTTTCATGACATTTTTTACTCAAAAAAATTGTCTGATAACCCAATTGTTTCATTTTCGGTATCCTGGTGGCATGAACATGGTGTATGATAAACATGGCATAAAATCATTAATTTGAACCTCTTTAAGAGTGGGCGATATTTATATTCTGTCATCTCATGTACTGTAAAATACTTTATTTTTGCTTCGAATTAATTTTCGCTATTTTCGCTGAAGGGATTATTCAGTGAAAATAAAACCTAGCGAATATACCATTTTCCATATATCTTTCATTCAACTCGTCAAAAATCAGTGAAAATTAATTCAAGCTAAAATAAAGTATTTTACAGTACCTCAAATCTCAATTGAACTTCTAACTTGGTGACATTTTAGTTAAGTTCTCGGGTATGAGAAAGCTATACAGAAGTATCACTGTTATACGCATGCGTTTTGAGTATTTTATAGCTTTAGTTGCGAGTTAAAGACATATACGGGTTGTTCGGTTGCGTGACGAGCACTGCGTGTTTTCTACGTGACGCGCGTCATCTCAGAACGTGACGCAACATAGGATGCACGATGTAGTATACGTACCATCGAAGACTGTGTGGTGAGGGCGCTCCCCTTCGCTGGATGAGGTATCATTTGGTGATGCAGACATATCCTCGTAGTCATGGGAACTGAGAGATCCGGATTTCTTCGTTCTTGACGTTGTTACCCTGTCTTTCGATGACGACGTACTACTTTTACAGTTATGACTTAATGAGTCGTTAAGATATCGTTGTAAGATGGTATGTTTGTATTTGTGAGGCGATACCCCATCGTCGGCTGTATCATCCAATTCACTGTCATGGTAAGTCGAGTGTCCACTTTCTGATGAGAGCGATGGCGAGGGTGGCCGATCACTGGAAGAGCTTTGGTCGCTTTGCTGCCGTGTGTCCACCTCCTTAAAAGATTCATCTTCGGCAAACTCATCCACCAAATCTGCAATGAAAACGGCTAGGATTAGTGTGGACCGCGAATGAGATGTTTTGGACCATTTGGAGAAGAGCGCATAAGTTGGACGGCCAACAAAACGATACCCAGTGGAATGCCAATTGGTACATTCTGTCTCCGTACCCCAAAGAGCATAGAACACATGAAATTAACGAATTTCTTTTCATTGCACTATAGCTACCATTTCAATTCTGATCCGGTCGCGTGGTCACGTAACCCGTCCCTGCATGACACAGAAAACAATGAAGTGAACGAATTGTCGATCACTGCCCTATTTCACCTATCATGAGTTCAACGTACTGGCAATAGATGAAGAGACGTCATTTACAACTGAGACATGTTCAACAGGCACTTCAACGCACAGGGCGGGGATAGTGTAATAACAGACTATGTGAATTTCTAGCATTGGTTTTCTCTGCAAAAAACCTGAGTAAACATATACTGCCCTCCACGGCGAGATGAATGCTAACTTTTATGAACTTCGGTCCCTATTTTGAACTCCATGGTCATAAAACGTCCTTGTTACGATCTGTTTTGATATTTGTGTAGTTCTTACGTTGCGTATTGGCAATGTTTGCACGTATTAAACGTAGTAAAAATACTGTACTCAAAGTTTATGACGTCACCAAATATTAATGGTTAATATGTTTCACAATGCAGCCTGCCAGTCATAAAGAAACTATTTATTGCTGCCGGGCGTATTGAAGTCACGTGATTTGCTTTTATTGTCAGTCGTTTGTATACTAGTATTTGAAATAGTATGTCGTAGCAATACTCAATCATTGTTCAGTTGCTTCCCCCGTCTCTCCGTATATTGTGAATAGAATATTAGACAGTGCATATAGTTTTTCCTGTTTACAGCAATTGCTCTGAAGCGCTGGGCATTAATGCTTAACGGTGATGTACATAATATAAAGTTTAAGTTTTACGACACCATAGACGTCTTACATCGCGCGTTCGAAATCGCGTGAACAAACAAGATATTTTACGCGATATGTAACGTCACATGGGACTTATATCCATCATTACGCGACACGAAGACAATGGCGCTTTAATTTTATTTTTCGATATGAGTAGGAATAATAAGGTGATTCAGAAAATACAACTTGTCTCGTCCTCCATCTATTGAGATAGATTGTTCCAAATCTATAAAAATGTGAGAAGTTATAGGTTAGTAATTGGCCGCCAAAATCTCGTTGAGAGCGAGAGAGCCACATAACTTGCCCCCCCCCCAATATACTAGTAGTGTTACGTTCCCTGTTGCCGTCGCGTCCATATGGTTACAAAAGTCAGTGGAACAGTGCACGAGAATAGAACACTATTTGGGGGAGAGGTAAGTCTTGTATGTATTTCGCTGTCAACGAGATCCCGGCTGCCATTTTGGAACTTATATCGAATAATCCCAAAATTAAAATGAAGTGAATTGCAGCTACAAATTAAACAGTTCCCGCATGTGTGAAAGATAGTCGGGAATTATCAAATTTCTCTGTTTGAAATGTCATTTCTCTTTTTAAATAATATAATCACAAACTCCTGCCACCTACGACATTCGTCCGATCCTTGTGTCAGCTTATAATAGATAAGTATGGCGCCCACTTCATCCGAAATGTCCTTGAAATGACGCAATTGAATTTGAAGTGTTTGCTATATTTTAGTACGGCACGTCCGATGAAAGGTTAATTACTTGAATTGTGACGACATTTTATTAGAGTGCACGTCTGTGTCATTAAAATAGGCTGGCACTACAACAACCCAATACACATCTATTTCCGACCAATTATTCGTTTTCAATGGCCGTCGAACAGATACTCTTAAGAGTCTGTCAGGGTAAATGACAAAACTGCAATTCACGGATAACAGAACTTTCAGATCTTGATGGGAGTAAACTGGATGAAGATACGTCACAAAACGAATACATTCACCCGTCACATAATTGGCATACTTATTAATGTGACGATAAACACAGTCGTTCTAATTTGGTATACTGGTGCGCATGCGTGCGCGGTGAGATATGCTTAAACTAAATGCGTTTCTCAATAAACTCGATAAATTAGTAACAACAACACCTGTACTTTCCCAAACTATAACGACTCACCATTCCAAGGTCGTTTACGGTACATATGCGTGAATTTTGTTCATCAATTAATGACTGGAAGTTGAAAACAACCAGCAGAAAATATACGGTAGTTTTAATTATATTATTGTCAGGGCGTTACAATGAGCCAGAAATAATTACCAGGTGCCAATGCCGTTTTGATCTCGTTACCAATTTCAAAATAGAAATTACAGAGGTCACAACGGGCCAAGGTCGACATTCAAATTAAGACGTGACGAATGGGTCAAAGTTCAAAAAGTAACTTTTTAAAAATATAAATATATGGCTTGTTTGCAGAGTTAGCTGTACATACATACGCTGTGACTGTGCCCGAATGAGTTCGTGTGAATATTAAAAGAAATGTACTCAGATTTTTTCTTCTTTCAGGAGGAAGGATTCAACGTTTTCTGGATTGTTTTTTGTTCCGAGTTTATTTTTGACTAAATTGCCATTCTAATGTTCCCATGTGAGGGATGGGTGTATAAGAAAACAATGATGACCATGTGTCGGTGAATCATGAATAGTCTAAAATAATGCGCACGTTAATGTAACTAAAGTGACATTTCGTGATGATGTAATCATAAATAAGCTGGAGCCAAGATAAAATAATAACACATTTTAGAAAATTTACCACAAGGTGCCATAGTACGTACCAAAACGGAAACATTAACAGGGATAGGGATAATGAAACATCGATTTGGTCGTCTCTTGTTGGGGCGAGCATTGTATCGCGGAGCCACCGGCTATGGAGATACGATAGCACAGCTGCCTAGTACAACAAACATGATACCATGACGAAACAAACTGTCAATATGTTTAATGTCAGAAAACATTGAGCTATATTGCCCGCCGCGTAATGATCAAAACTTACGTCTCCATCCATGTCAATTGTAACGTATCCTAGAAACAAGCGCTTTGACGGATCTGACCTGTTGTTACGTGGATACGTTTTAAACCTTGTCATCAAATTTATCCACAATTACATTTGATTAGTATATTTCAACTATTAGCGAGGGCATTTGAACAAAGTTTGTGGCGAGCTAGGTCAAACAGATACACGAATAAAACAGGGATAGATGACGCCTGCATAACGCGATCGAAACGCCGTAGAATATGATAACCACCTGCTGAGGTCGCCATTGTTTATGCTTAGGTTATCAAATGATAGCAGAACTGATAGAAAATATGTCAAAATCATACACGCTAGCTGTGTTGTATAACAATAGTGTTGCCGCACGTTTTAGTCCGCATATGTTTCATAGAATTGAGCAACTAGCTAATAGGGGAGTGGTTACAATGGGCGGCAACTTACAGTTAATTGCACTGGCATGTTAGCAGATGGCGGAGTGTTTTCAGTATCTGTGGACAATGCGACTACGTTTACAACCCCACACGCGATAACAACTAGAACACCTGTTGTTCATTCTAAGTACACCTAAGTACAGTTGAAATTCCGAACATTTTTGTGATATTTGTTGTCATGTATTTATCAATACACGCATATGACCTGCTGTTAATATCACACATTAAAATGGCAGTGGTTCTTTTCTTCAAATAATTGGAATATATAATCATTTAAAAAAATACTAAATGCGTAATTTTAATCTCAGGTGATATGGAGTAACCTGAAGTCCGATAATCTAACACCGAGAAAACATCGCGATTTTTGAAGAAATGTTGACATATAAAACTCCGTGTCATTTTTTTTCATTATGCTCTTACAATAAGTGGATGAACAGAATGAACAATTTTGTGATCTAAAATATTCAATGTGTATTTTATAATGTTAAAACGAGGCTGTCTAGCTACACTGCCATCACCTTTAAATTTGATCAGCAAGTTTGGAGAGACGTCGACCGTCCGAGAAATGATGCAATGAACGTGCAATGCGGCGACATTATATCAAGACCATGTCATGTGAAAATCGGACTCTCGCGCGTGGTAACTACGTGGAAGAAAACTGACTAGCACATGACGAGCGCGAGTCGTGGTGTGTGAATAATGGTCACGTGGTAGAAATGTAATATCTTTATCATGACTATTATCTTGAACCAGCACTATGTGAACGTCCGCGCTCAGTTATAATGTCGTATTGTACTAGATAAATGCACCTATTTAAATCTTTACAGGTATAGACGGAGAGATCAAAAACGGCGAAATGAAACCGTTAAAGCGCGGTGGTCGTCGCGCAGCGCGTGTTCGAATTTCATGTAAATAAACAATGTATTTTATACGCGTTCTATACGTCGCTATGAGTCCCATATCGAACAGGACGCGGGCACGACGTCTGCCGCCTTTTAAAGCCCCACAGTCGTCGCACCGCGTTCTGTTCTGTATGGGACCCATAGCGACGTATACAACGCGTGTAAAATATATTGTTTTTTACACGCACTTTGAACGCGCGCTGTGCGACGACCGTAGCGCCTTAAACAGAGTTCAACAAGGAAATACTAGTAGGGAATACACTTGCCTTCTGCATGTAAGACAGAAGAACCCGGGGTACTTCCGGAACTGATACTTAAGAGTTCAGCATTTCCTTTCACGTAATGGTTGTACATACGAATCCTTTTCGCCCAGCTCAGCCCTGGATGGCGCACTGTATTTTTTAACCTCCTCCTCGCATTAGCGAACCAGTTAGAAACCTAAGAACAATAAATATGGAAAATGTCACGTGGTATGTTTTGTAACTACTCGTTTTATATTCACACACAAATATTCCAAATATATAGTTATCATTATACTAATTGGCAGTTAACCTATCACAAACAAGCTGACCTGTGATTGGTTTATACTATTAGGTTTGGTAGTCAATCAGGCACGATCTTGTAAGTAGCTTCACATTAACTCAAAATACTTTTCACATGTTTAAATTAATATTTTGTGTTTGTTTTACGCAATATATTTTATATACAGTATTTATAAATATTCTTTTTATTTTCTCTCTACATACAGTATGTACATAGAAATTAAATGTTGTGTTTCCCTCAATGTCAGCTACGAAAGATACACCTGCGAAGAATGCCAGGAAAGGTATTATTCTCAATAATCAAAATCAATTTACAAGGTTGTTTAAAAGTCAAATGCTTGAACTTGAACTCTCCGAACATTCAAGTACTTCTGCCGTTCAATTTAAATATCATAAACGAATATATAATAATAACGATCAGAATCCCTTTTTGTATGGGACTATATGACGCAACTCACATGTCAAGTGTATAATCACGTAAAACAACAGCGAGAAAAACAATTCGGCGCAAATTACTGAATATTTCATGTGATATTTATGAAAATACACGAATGCAACACCTGGTTCGATTTTAGGCACGGTTTACATGACCACTACAAATTTGAGGGTTAAACATCAACCGGGCTTAACATCAACAGGCACGGTTTCATTTGTCTGTTCAAAGGCGCTATGCTTTGATATTCAATTTGACAATGTTAGACGCTCCTTCAGACACGCACTTGTGCGCAGCTCCGAAAAAACACATTGACTATTTATGAGATGAGTAGGATTTTATTTCAAATAGAAAAGAAGTGAATTTATTGAACCCTAACCGGAAACAGTTCACCACTTGCGGTCGCGGTGTATGACGGGAAACCATATGAGCACCCAATCAGTCAGTGCACGGTTACTAAAAAAGTCTTGTTTAGTAACCGTGGTCAGTGCAAACCATGTTATTGAGCAATTTACTCGCCCACGGTTCTATTAACCGTGACTCACCAAAAGACTGCATAACCTTTACCAGGTTTTGTTTTGCGGTACACACGTGATGCACTCACAAAAAGACTACAGAAACCCTGCCAGGTTTGCTTTTGTCGCACACGATCGAACTTGAAAATCATCCCGGAAGCTATTCATTTTTAAAAAAATTGCGCGCTTCAGATATGGCCAGAATTTAAATCCAATCAGCGGTAGGTAGAGCAGCACACAGGTTGATATCCCATTGACAGACAGATGAGTTGTGAATCGATAAATGTGTGTTCTTTTCCCTCAAATTGAATTGAAGGTAAACGTGTAGTTACTGCTAACATTTGAACGAATCTGATTCACTAGTGACGTCACTAGTCGAAAAGAGTGTCATCCCTTCTCGCACTACGTGCTCGCTATCTGGGCCCCGCATATAGTAACGAGCACCTGTGCTATCGAGCGTCAGTTTGAACTTGACAATGAAGCTAAGCATGCATACATAACACGGAATTAGATCGCGCGTTGCTTTGAATTAAAACATCGTATAATACGAATTTGATCCAGTTGCCTAGCAACTGAACGTATTTCGACGAAAGTTCGGAATATAACTACTAGATTGGAATTGGAAATTGCTACTAGCCAAGTTTATCCATGCACGAAATTGTAACCATAGGAAATAAAAGAAGAGGTTATATTCGTGTTTATCATAATTAAAAGCGAATCAAAAGTGAATTTGGGAAATAAAGGTAACCATGACAACATACATATAATCAGGCTACGATCAATGTGTCTTTTGTTGATTTATATCCATAAAACTTACCTGAACTAACGTCATGTGGGATCCCAGGGCGAGTAATATTTTCTCGGTTTTAGTCGGGTATGGATTGTCTTTGTGTTTGTACAACCATGCTTTGAGAGGTTTGGCCATATCCTGAAGTGTTTGTCTCTTATGTCGAACTCTTTCCTCCATATGTGGTCGCCTAAAGAGCAAAAGAAGAAATGCATCAAGAAAAGTGAATAACAAATAAGACGTTCTTTTAAAGAAGAAGACAGATTGCACAGTCTTTTCACAAAAATCGTGAAATTCTGCAGGTACCTTCAAAGTGTCATCATTATGTGGGATACCGCCAATTACATCCTTTGACAACACTCCATTGCATCACGGGATACCACTCCTATAGTTCTACCATACTTTATACATGTATTATTTTACTAAGTGAACTCTGTCGACATCGACTTATTTTTAAAAAAAAAATTTCCTAACGGTAGAAAGTTATAAGAATAAAACGGACTGGACAATATTGACAAGATTGTTGTTCTAGGACATAGCGTCTCTTATCTTTGATTGTGGTAGCCCAGGTGACGTGAAATCAGCCGTACCACCCAATCAATATCGAGCATACTGAATACCAACGTGAGATTTGACGATGCTCCATTGAAGTCGCTCGATATATAATAGCAACCCCGGTGATGTTGGCTGATAAAGGGACGTTTGCCATTAGACATTTGAAAAGGGGTATCCAAACCTCTGCGACAGACCAAATGAAGCGAAGTGCTGACTGATGAAGAGGTATAAGACGCCGTCACACCTAGGCAAACAAGGTTCGTACGGGATTCTGAAGAATAAATGTATTTGGGTGCGAGATGTCGACCGTTACACGTTAAGTAGAAGGAGGTCCAATGAACAAACACAATCGCCGCGTTCGGTTGAGGTGGGTGACTTTCACAATGTTATCCCAACTCTGCTATTTTTATTATTATTTTTTCGAATCTCGAGGAGCCCAAAAAATTTACTTTTTAAAGAAACTATAATCCACTCGCCACTTAGAGCATCAAGGGAAAAGTATAGAATACGGCCTTGTACCACTCGGGGGAAATTTTTCAAGTGGCTTTTGAGTTTTAAAGTAGGCATGCCAGCTTTTGGAGATCGTGAAAGACTATAATCGGTCAAATACGTCAAATGTGGACTTTATTTGGATAAGTAGCAAACACGCTCTGAATGGAACAGACTTGATAGTAATAGACGCATTACTCCTCTTATGTGATGGTCACTTTAAACGTTTTACCAAGAAAACCTTATTCGAATAATGTTCCTGCGGACATTATTAAACAAATCCCAAGAAACTGACACAAAAGTGCCTGGTGCGTTACGTCATATAAGGTCAACGTGTTCCATACAGTGTTGTATTCAATAAGCTGCTAGGTGTCTCGATTTAATAAGAATTTACAAGAATGCGGAAAATTGACCTCGCTCAGTACTCCCTTTTAACAACAATATACCTGATAAATCAACGGATTATAGCAAAAAAGACCCCAGCTTAGTTGCTGTGTTGTTTTACTAACCCAGCTTTGTACTAAATGTGTACTAAACTGACAAAAGCCGAAACGTTTAAGAGTATTTTGAGGTGCAGTTCAAATACTACCAAGAATTGAAAATGCCCCGGTCTGTAGTTAATGCCAACTTTCATCACTAGCAGCGATGTAGGAGTGTAAAGTTGGCTATGTAGTGATGTGGAGCGACCATTCGATGGTGGCAATGTACTGCAATGGACTGAGCATATTTGGTTTTATTATCACTAAAAATGTAATGTGCAACCAAAATCCGGTTGTAGAATCATTTAGTTTGAACAAAATCATGCAAGCCATCTCAGAGAAAAACAGTTGTTAAAATGACGTGATTTACCCAATATCTATGATCCTGATACAAAGCCCTGTTCATCTATGAGAAATAGATCCTTACAGACGTCTATGTTAGGATTTTACACAAAATGACCGTCAAACGGACAAACTTGGTCGAATCACAAAATAACACAACCCACATTATTACAAACTCATCAACTGAATCATGATGAAC